CGAACCTGTGTCCCCTGCATCGGCAGGCGGACTCTCAACCACTGTGCCACCAGGGAAGCCCATCATCGGCTGGCATTTTAAAGCCAAGCTGTTCATAGCTAACCTACACTGAATAGACTTGTATGAACTCACACAAGGGTCAAACAGAAATAAGGAACTGCATTATTCACACACAGCGTCTGGTTGTCCCGTCACCTGCCCACACCCCAGACACGATCACTCCTGGGATCTTACCCTCTCACTGTGGTTGGAGACAGACAAGCTCCATCCTAGAGTGCCTTAGACACAAAGCACCACTGACCACACCCAGGAAAGAGGATCAAACAAACCAGGAAGCAAAACAATCGCTTTCACTCTGAGGGTCCCCAGCAATTAGGAAGAGTGCACAGAGCAGCTGCTGGGGACCCACCAGCTGGCAGCTTAGTGAGAACAGGATTATGAGCTGACCCATCCACTCAGGCTGTCATCAGCACCAGGGCCTTCCCTTCCAGAAGGCATTTGGGGTCAGGTAATGTGGACCCTATGTAGCCAAATCCCAAACACAGACCTCACAATCTGGGCAATGCAGCAGACACTCGTGCAAAGCCCCATTATTTGCAGATGTTTTCTCATCTAAAACCTCCTCCTCAAGATTTCAAAGTATTCCTCTGACCTGGAAATCAGGAGGGTTTGTGGTAGCCGACATTGGTGGACATTTTTGAAGGAACACAGGAGAAAGGTATCAGATAGAAAAACGCGGAGCAGGCAAGATTGGTTTTACTGACATGCAGCCACAGAGCACTGCTGGGGCCTCTAAGCCTGAGAAATAGTGCTTAGCTTTCTCTTGGTTTAAATTTTTTCAAAAGTCTCTCAAACGCTTGCCTGAGTTAATTCACTCATAATGCCTGCTGAGGGAAGATGTGACCTGCTTCTCAGGCTGCAAAGTGGTCTGAAGGTTATGCACGAGGCTTTGGAAGGGAGAGGCTGAACAATTACTCATCCTTTCACTGAGGCTCATGGGCGTCTGTAGTTTCTCTTACGTGCTTCTTGAGCCTGCAACCTAGCAGCTTCTCAAGGGGGAAGGGAGGGAGGTGGTTACTGAAATTCAGGACTCATCACCTCCAGACAAAACAGACTGCTCACAAAGAGCCCTCAAATGAAGCCCTTCTCTGCTTCTCTGGACTTTTTTTTTCCCAGAAAGAAAACCCAACTCTAATATTAAAGATTGGAGATTCTTATTTGAGCTAAGTGAGGGCTGTCACTGTACTGCTACTAGCACTGACCCTCATCATCATCACCAGCTCCTCTCATTACTGGCACTGTAAGGCCGGCACTTTAGACAGCTTCTCACAGTGCTTCTCTATTTGTCCTGAAGCCATGAAACCACCTGGGTGCCCTGTTAGGAAAGGAGAGTCTTGGACTCACCCTAGACCTAATGAATCAGAATCTCTAGGCTCAACTGCCCCAGGGGTTCTGATCATTGGGAACATTTGGCCAAGATTATCTCATCTCATTTAGTCTTCACTGCAATCCTAGAAAAACTTATTTACCTCATTTGACGAGGAGGCAAAGTTACCTGCCCTAAGTTGATAACCAGGCAACGGAAAGCAGGGATTCGGACCTTCTGGCTAAGCACAGAGAAAGTCACGTGCTAACCTGCCCGGCTATCCTGCTGCCTGCAACACAACAGGAAGCGGTAGAAGCCTTCCTTCTATCAAATTACAGAGCAGCCCGTACTGTGGTACAGAGAAACGGGTGGGGGAAAGACTCCAGAAGGAATTAAGGCCAGTATTTATATCCACACACGTGTACCCCAAGCATAATCGAATCCCGTTTGGGGGTCCTGTGCTCTCCCTGAACCCCGGGTCATGCCACCTCTCCTCCCGCCGGGACCCCCATGGCCCACATCACCACAACTAGCAGCTGTAAGCCCCGCGTGTGTGCGTGATGGCAACCGTGGGTTGGGGGGGGTGAGCACCTGTGATACCCACCAGGCAACTCTGAGTCTTTTCCTAATAAGTATAAGTTAGCTGATGGACTCTACACACTACCATTTGGCTTGTTAGGAAATAAGTGAGAAGCATTTGGAAATAAATCTCTGCAGGAGACACTGAAGTCATATACACTAGGTATACACACAGGACACAGCCTGGAAATGCATATTAAACACCTTGGTTACATCTATTAAACAACAACTGCTAACAAAGTCTTACATTTCTAATACCAATTCAGTCAAATGGAAAATTTCAAAGCAGTGTTATTTATATTAATCTGACAAGGATCCAACTCAGATGTACTCGCCCCAGGCTTCCTTCCTCCACTACAGCTCAACACACACCCGCACACCCTCGGAAACTGACTTGTTAGCTGGTATTCAGGATTTTAAGCAGGCTCCGTGAGGACTGAGCCCTACTCTCCTTCCAGGAGGCAGGCCAGAGCCTTCCTTGCTGAGCACCTTTGATTCACCTGAACATGGGGCTGGAAGTTCCCACTCTGCTCACTCTGCACGGGTCACAGGAAGACCAGGTTGGTAAGGACATGAGAAAACTCAGCAAAGCAGAAACCACTACCTTATTTGGGTATTTCTAGCTGACATTCATCACATGCACAGAAACTGCTGGTAAATCCAAAATGATTCAAAGCACACTTGCTTCTAGAAAAGTTTCACTAGCCATTTGGGAAGTTTTAAAAGCTCTTAACTTCAAATGCTTTGTGATAAAATAGCAATAGGACTAGATGCATCCCAAGTCATTCTTAAGACAATTAGGCCAAAATGCGGGCTAAAACGTCAAGAAGCTACTTGGCCCCAACTACAAGCAGTGGAACCATAATTACCTGTTTCTCCCCACAGGGTGTCGGTGCCACTGATGTCTATTTCATGCTCCTTTTCCAGTCCCAGCAAGCACTGGACCACCTGTCAGAAGTGGCAAGGTGATTTAATGAGCTCTCAAAGCCATATGTGCTTATTGTATCCTATGCATCAAAGGAGAGAGTGTGTTGTTTTTTAACCATGATTATCTTATGCTGCACAAGGAGAGAAAACATAACGAAAACGGTTTTCCAGCATAATTCGTATGCTATTCACACTTTCCCTTTGAGAAGGAGAAGAAAAAAAGACAGTGAATTTCGGCAACATTTGTTCAGGATTACTAGGTACTCAGAATTCTAATGAATTCCAACATGACCCAAATACGCCAGCCTAATCAACAAAGGACAGGGGAGATCATACACAGTGCAGTTTCTGCATAAATCGCCAGAAGATGGTGAATCCCTTCTTTCACAAGGAAGGAAAGCAAGGTGATGTACATACCTTTTCAGTAAAATAAAACAGTGCTGTTCCAAATTTCTCTACTGACAACATTATTCTTTTCTCTCTGTCAAAGAGCAGGCTGGGTCACAGGTGTGGAGGCAGGGGTGCTGGCCCGTGGGGAAACAGAAGTATCTGAGCCCCGAACCAGAGCCAACATCCACCACGCTCGTGTGCAGCGACCAGAGAGCTCACCGAAGCCATTTTCCACGTCTCTCAATCCACTCCCAATAAGGGCCCTACATCCTAGTCCTGAAAACCTGTGAATGTTACCTTACATGGCAGGAGGGGATGTGCAGATGTGATTACGAATCTTGAAATGGGATGATTATCCTGAATCATCCAAGTGTATATTTGATATACACTTGATAAGAACACAGCTGTTTATAAGAGGGACAGGAGGAACCAAGGTCAGAGGAAGGAAGAGATCAGGAGACAGGAGCCTCAGTTAGAGTGACACACTCTGAAGACAGAGGCAGGGTCACAAGCTAAGGAATAAAGGTGGCTTCCAGAAGCTGCAAAAAATAGAGAAACACTCTCCTCTGGGGCCTCCAGAAGGAACACTGGCTTCCTGACCCAACTTAATTTCAGCCTCTGACCTCCAGAACAGGTTGTTTTAAGACACTAAAGTCTGTGGACACTTAATACACCCTTCAAGTCTTTTGGTGAACAAATCCTGTCCTTTTCCACGAAACAGTTACTGGATGTACTGCAGTTGCTTTTCCACAGCTCCCCGCAGCCAGCTTTAAAAGGAGCTGAGACCAAGGTCACATCCATTGTGGCTTCCCTGTGCTCCCTAAGATGATTTTGCACATTCTGGACCCACACAGATTTAGGGCACAGTTTAAAGAGGAAAAACATCTACGTTCAAATAAGTGTACTTAACGCGCTCTCTCTGAATCTATGTATATGGGTATTTAAAAGTATTTATTTACATTTTTATTTTAAAGGAATTATAATAAACCCACCACATGGTAACATTTAACACGTTTTTATGAAATGAGTATTTTCTCCCAAGCTAAAACATATAGATAAGTTGACTTGACTGGCATCGTTTCACATTTTTGTAAATCTCTTTTACGTCTGTATTAAGAAAAAACAGCTGCATTTTCTTATATGCTTCTGCATTCAACTTACTGCAATATATTGTGTTGGCTGAAGCAGTGTATATGTATATTTTTGATGTTTTAAACGCCAACAATAAGCTAGCAGCGTGGGCGTGTATCTGCTCTAGTGTTTTCAATGCTAAAAGTCAGCCAGCTGGCTTTGCAACCAAATTACGTTTTAGTCATTGTGGGGAAGAATCTTACCAAACACTGGCAACTCTATAACTGCTTGAAGATACGTAATACACCGTGAGAAATACACGGAGAGAGAGGGTAAAATATTATTAAATTCACAGACACACGGGTCAGAAGATGCCAATGAATTCTTCAAATCGAGGAATACTGACACCTACCAGAAGTGAAGTGCTCAGTGTAACTACGGCATGAAGTTTTCCTTCAGTGCAGGAACCACGAATGATAAGCACTCTTTCATGCTACCAGAGCACTGAAGTTCTATTTTTAAAAATCCTTCAAATACTCAAGAACAAGTTTATAATTAGGATTCCATGTGATTATTGTTAAAAGATCACAAGGACAAAAGAATGAATCAAAGGGGAAAAAGGTAGACAGCAGAGCTAGAGGGTAAAAATAGAACAAGGAAGGAAGAGGGGAAGAAACAAGGAAGAGCAGAGAATGCACACAGTGGAGGGGCTCCACGTGGGAGCAGCCAGCCCCTACCGGGCCAGCACCTGAGACTGTGGGCACTCCCCTGCATTTTCACTCACAGGACAGGCTTGATAACAACAGATCTTTACACGTGATGAAACCCTCATTTTCTTTCATTCCTTTGGTGCATCACAAGCTAGCAACTCAGAAGGTGGATGCAAAACACCCGACCCACTGGGCTACACGGAGCTCCCAGTTTCCCAGGAAGGGCCCTGGCAGCCCCACTCACCGAGCTGTGGCCCATGCTGGCGGCCGCTGTCAGTGCCTGCTGCAGGGCCTGGCTCTTCCTCAGCACGCCTGGCTGGGGTGGGCCCACGGACCACTCACAGGTCAGTAGGTAGCGGAGAATGTCGCCGTGGCCCCTCAGTGCACTGTGGACCAGCGCGCACTGGC